ACATATTGTATAACACTGTATTGATATGTGAATAGCTGAGATTGACTACATATATGATTTTTGCATGTATAATTTCTATTACTGGGCAGAGACGTTGTGATATACATAAATGTGTTTCCTATTTGCATATCTTCATCTTCAGTGAATACTAATCATTCTGCTTCACTCATCCTAAAGTGTACCTTACCATTCATTTGCTCACTGGAAATGGTTTAGTGGTTAGGAATACTACTTTCAGAGAGGATTTGGGTTTGGTTCTCAATACCTAATTGTGACTCCTCGCCACAGGTAAGCACAGTTCCAAGGGTTCTGTTGCCTCTTTTAATCTCCGCAGGCACTGGATGCACGTGGTGCACAGGCATACATCCAGACACCCACATAGACATATACATGCTTTTAAAAGTTTAACTACAGTGAAACTTTTAAACAGTCTTATGTAGCATACAAAATAAGCGTTAGAATGAAGGCTGAATACAGTGGTGGTACTACAAGAGAGCACTGCTCTCGGATTTATAATGGCCTACCACCTAACATTGGTAAGCTCAAACTGAATTTGCAGTGTGACCAGTAGAAACTCACCTGCAGACCCCACTGTGAATTATGGCCTAGACAAATGGAGCTTTGCAGTGCAAGGACAACAATAGAGTTGTTTGGAGGTGGAAATTCCTGTTTCTCTCATAATGCACTATAAGAAATCACCTTTCACTACGTAAATAGGCTTTAAGTGTGGGGTTGCAAACACATTCTTGTGTTGGGCATGAGTACTTTTGAGAGAAGCATAAATTGTGATTCTAGTATAAATGAGCCACTGTCAAAGGATCACCTGGCAATGAAAACCTCTATTCTGCATCACTGCTGTATGTCACTGGAGAAGTTGCTCTAACTGTGTGCAGTAAGATCACTACTTTATAAGTAGTCCTGGTGCCTGAGTACCATCCCTAGAAATCTGCATGTTCATTAGACCCACAGGACTGAAGGTGGATGTAGAGCTGAGACCTTGGACTAAAGAATAAACTCAGAACCGAAATAAGCTACAGATTAAACAGTCCTGGAGGCATCTTAGACCTTTTACAAAAGTTTCTGACCCTCTTGTTGGGCCAATTTATTTTTCATAAATGCATTGAGAATCTTAAGATCCTATTTATTATAGCATTCTTTTGATTGAAATTTGTAAAATTTAGAAACAATATGTAGACTATCAAAAGTAATTTAATCTCAAAATGTTGGCATATTTCTTTAAAATAGCTAAAATTTCTGAGCTTTGCATATTTTTTTTAATATTGTACTATAATTCCTTTCAAGTCTCCATTTAAGTCTTTAAACATTAAGCCCATTTAATGTTCTCTGATTTCTGCCTTTTTGGCTTTCTAACCACTGCAAGGTAAGGGCTCTGCTTTTTCAGTCTTGTTACAGTGCTTCCTCTGCTCTTCTGCTGGAGACTATCTTACTCTTCTGAAATGGTTACAAGTACTCTGCCTGTATGTTACAGTATGGGATGTCTGCTTCTGGATCCATCTTTGTTTCTCCCATGGCACAGCACAGTGCTTCTGCACTGTACTAGAAACTGGCAGGAATGATTTTGAATATGTAATGTTTAATCTTCACACACTCCCTACTGATATTAAAGGGTACAGTGAAATAAAATGTATTTGGAACAGCCCCAAACGATCTGGTGGAGTATACCCATTCATAAGACTGTAATTGGGCCATAAGAAGCAATGAATAAATGAACACAGGTGCTCCTCGAGAGCAGACCAAACACAAAAGGGCATGTATTATAAGAGACATTGATACAAAATGCAAATCCAGAGAGGGAGAATTAGGTTATGTACTTTAGAAGGATGAATTTTCTAGCAAGTCCTATTTGGATGAGATCAATACCTCATTCCTACCTGAAAACAACAACATATTTAGGGACTAGAGAGGTAGTTCAGCTAAGAACACTAAAAACTCTTCCATTGGACCCAGGTTCAATTCCTAGCACTCAAATGGCAGCTTACAATAGCCTGTAACTCTCATTGCAAGGAATTTTGATCTCCAGAGGTTCCAGGCACACACATGGTACACAGATATACACACAGACTAACATCCATATGCATAAATAAATGTTTTAAAAATTAAAAAATCATTTAAAGTTAATATGATGGAAATATGTCAGATTGTATAGTCATGAGAAAAGGGGAGACCACTTACTCACTTCCAGTACTTTAACCATATAGCATTGTTCACATTATAGAGATTCTTTCAAGGTGTTTAGTACCATCCTTATATTAAGAAAACAAGCCTCTCAATTTTAATCAAGTTCCTGACCCCTGATTTGCAACCAACATTAAGACTCTTGCCCTTAACATTATCAGGCAGTGAATAAGATGTGCATTTATAATTAAGGATATTTGTGACTTTTCTCAAAGTTGTTTTTTTTATTTTTTTAGAGGCTGGAAAAAATTCAGAAAGTTCACTTAAATGGCACCAAAGTGAAGAGTAAGCAAAGTGAACCCAGCAAACACTCAGGATTTTCTACCTCAGACAACAGCACAGCCAATACTCCTCAGGATTACAGTGGGAACATGAAGTCCTTCCCATCCAGAAGCCCTTCCCAGGGGGACGAAGATTCTGCTCTTATTCTAACCCAAGACAATCTGAAAAGCTCAGATCCCGATCTGTCAGCAAACAGTGATCAGGAGTCCGGGGTGGAGGATTTGAGCTGTCGATCTCCAAGTGGTGGTGAGCATGCGCCGAGTGAAGACAGTGGCAAGGACCGGGACTCTGATGAAGCTGTGTTTCTCACTGCCTGAAGTTTCCCTTTGGAGATCCAAAGTGAGACACAGAAACACTTCCAAATTAAGGGGAAAGTGCAATTCATAATAAAAAGTGTCGAGGAATGGCACGTTCCATCCAGAACCATAAATTTACAGCTATGAAAATGAAAAAAAGAATACGCTCTCTGAATAGCCAGTTCGTTTATCAAATCAAAATGAAGACTGCTTATCATTCCTGAGGCTCATGTTAGGCTGGAAATTATGTTCACTGCAAAGAAACCATTATCATCTAAGGTTGTCCATGCGAGTCTTCCCCTTATAGCATGTCTCTGCTTATAAAGCCCCCCCCCTCTCCTTTCCATCATACCTATTAATGGCTGGAGTTTTATTACACTTCCACATAGTTTTGCTTTCTTGAAACATTTGACATTTCCTTCTGCCTTTACCAATATTTTTAAAATGAGTACTGAAAGTCCCCTTTTTTGTTAATAAATATATTCCTAAAGAGCTCTGAAATTAATCTTTCAGGTAGGGTAATCATTTTATTAACCCTCTCTGGAGTATCTTCTGCTTTTCTTCCACCTAAAAATGCTAAAATGTATGTCTGTCTTTACATAGATGTAGTACCTAATAAAGCAGAAGCCTCATTCATTTTCTCTCTCTCAAATATGAATCCAGGTATCAGCTCTTAGCAAACTTTTCCTGCTTTTTCAGAGATTAGACCTACCAAAACTGTGAGCCACACCAACCTGATTCCAAATGACAAAACTATAAACTCAGTAGGTAATAATACATCAGCAAGGGCAAAGTCCATTGAAAAACTAGGGTATTTGCTTATCAAGTGTCTTAAATTACTTTTCTTGTAATAAGACCCCACAACCAAGGCAACTGGAATAAAGAACTTATTTGTTTGGGGCTTACACTTTTAGAAGGTTATTCTATGACAGTCATGGCAGAGAGCATGGCAGCAGGCAAGCACTGGAGCATTAGCTGTGCTCACATCTTGAGACATAACCAAGAACCGGTGAGGGCTCACTGGTAATGGTGTGGGCTTTCTGAAAATTTAAGGGCAGCACCCAGTGACATACCCCCTCCAACGAGGCCACACCTCCCAATCCGAAACAGTTCCACTGACTGAGAAATATGTATTCAAATATATGAGCCTTTGGGCCATTCTTCAAACCTCCATATTACATCTGTTAAACATAGGGAGTAAAGGTTACAGTGCTTTTCACTTTACAAACCATATAGCAAACTAATGTTTTCTATAACATTAGCAATATCTCATGACCATGGACAGCTGAATGTCATTTCTGAAGTTTCTTTTAAAATGCACAATTAAAGCAGGATCATTCCCATTTTATGCTAAAAAAACAGGATTTGAGTTGAGCTTTTGTTCTGAAAACTCTTAATGGAGAAATGTTGCTGTGTTTGAACACACTGAAATGTTCTTATTGTATGGTTTTGCAATATTAGTACATTCTAATAAAAATGAATTTAATCTTAGTTTTTTATAACAGTATTTTAAAGTAAAAATTTTTATCAGATAATGTATTCAATTTTGTGGAAATAGAAATACAGTAATGAGACTGTAAAGACCTCTAGAATGAGTTACACACATAATCACATAATGTAATACAGTATAATAGTGTTCACATTTAAGGACAGACTGACTTTAATATACTAAAGGCCTGTAATATAAAAATATTGTTAATATAAAAATAAAGCAAGTTTAATTCCTTTAGATGTTAAATCTGAGCATTTTCTGTGGGAAATTCCCCAATTAAGCATAAGGAATATTTACTCATTTTCTATAGTGTATCTAACAGCTAATAAACAGATGGGAAATAGTGGGAATGGCTTGTACAGCTTTACAACATAACTCACTTTCTTTTCATTTTCTTTGTTTTGCTTTGTTTTTTGAGACAGCATCTGACTCTATAGCTCTGGCTGGCCTCGAACTCAGGGACCTGCCTGCTTTTGCCTCCTAAATGCTGGGATTAAAGATGTGTGTTATCACGCCTGGCTTCCTTATATTTGTGTACTATCTACTCTTACAAACACTGTTGCCTAATTTCTTAGAGTAGACAGTATGTCCATAACAAAAAAAAGAAAAACCAGCATCTACGTCAAACTGGACTACATATTTGAAAAAAAGTATATATTTTAAATGTTTACTTTTTAATGTAACACCATCAACATCAGAGCCACACTTCATTCTCTTCATTCTTTCACGAGACATAACTTAAGCATGTGTTTATTGAGTCTTTTACAGATTAACCAACCTATCATTGAAGCTACATACATGCTTTACTGTAGGCCTTTTCAGAGACCCTGAATAAATTCTGATCAGTCCAACTAAACGTCTCAGTATCACATGCTCATTCTAAATCAAGCTTTAGTCATGAAGCATTTTAGTATTTAAGGTAGTGTTCTAGGGGTTACTTCAATATGTAACTGACTCAAGACACATTACTTCCCAACCAGTGATAGTTACAGCTCAAATGATTTATTACTTAGTAATACTAAAGAATTTTGAATTTTGATCATATTTGAACAAGTCAGGTGAAAATTTTAAATTAAAAAGAGGAAAAGTGAAACCTTGGGTGAGAGGAGAACAAGCACAGTTGCCAGCCCTTGCCTTCCACCCTGTTTGCAGCCATCCTCTCCACCCTGGAATGATCCTCAGCCTCCTCTTTTGTGTAGAATAGAACTACTGATGTGTTTTACTGTGTGCCAGGTTTTTATATGAGTCCTCAGTATTTGAACTCAGGTCCTCATGCTTGCATAACAGGTTAGCACCGAGCCACCTCCCTAGCCCAAGTTTTCATGCCTTAAGAGGGTGCACGTCAGCTGGTAGAATGTTTGTCTCACATGCATGAAGCCCTGCGTTCAGTCCCAAGCACCACATGAACTGGCTTGGTGATAAATATTTATGATCCTAATACTCAGGTAGAGGATCAGAAGGGCACGGTCATTCTCAGCTACATCACAAGGCAGAAGGCAGTCTGGGTTAGCGACCCTGCCTTAAAAAAACAAGGCACAAGTTTACTTCTTTCTCCTACAACAGAATCTTAGCTGCTCTCCACTTTGATTATGTAAACTGGTCAAGCAATTTCTGTTCTGTATTCTGACATTAATTCTCTGTAAAGTTGATTTATTCTGAAAATTTAATTTAACTTTGACCTCACTAACTTACTACTTAGTATCTACCTTTAAATACCATGACAAATTCTGCCCTGGGTAGTCCATTCCTAAGCTTTCCTTTATAGTCTTCTATATTATACACTCAAGTAAAACCAGAGGATCTTCTTTGGTATTCATATGTGTAGCTAATTTTCATAAAGAAGAAACAGGGCTACAAAATTACAACCATGTAATTCTGCAAATACAGAACTCAAATACACACTGGCATATTCAAATATTCACCTCAAGTAACAATTATGTCTGAACAAGTTTGTCAACTAGGTAAATGCAGTTAACTGTGGTGAAATGTCTTGGTCTAATGTTTGGATTATGAAGAAGGTCTCTGAACTTTGAAGGAGAAAGTATGCTTCCAGTTTAACTGACAGTGAAACTTGGAGAATACAAGTTTCAAGAAAAATCCCACTGGATTACTACTGTGTCTGTATAAACTGTCCTGGGTGAGCAAGTGATGTGTGTGTGTGTGTGTGAGAGAGAGAGAGAGACACAGAAGGGAAAGAAGCACCTATGTACATCATTTGAGTTGTCTCTGGGTAGTCTTTAAATAATGCTAGAGCTGTTTAGCATATGCTTAATAAGACAGATTAATCAATATTCTAGAAGGCTTACAGTCCACTGGCTCTTATTCTGGGATATGCCTGGTTTTTATGAAATCAACAGGACTGTGTCTGGTAGGTTCTCTACTGACTACAGTGACTGCTGGGAATGCCAACACTGGTGCACTAAGGAGATGTCTCCAAAGGTCCCCAAACTTGGTCACAAATTTGAAACATTACTACATCAGTTATTTTACCTACACTTCTGTGTCAGGAATAACAAGTTTACCCTTATCTGGCCATTCTGAGGATTAAATAGTACACCTTAGCAACAGTGCCAGGAAGATGGGCAACTATAACAGGGTATAGCCCGCATTAGATCTTTACGGTCTGTGTGAATGTCTTCTACAAACAAAGTATTTTTCAGTAAGAAAATATTTTTGTTTTTCCTAAAACTGCATTACCAAAAATGTGCAGAGTTAAAAGAATGAAGACAATCCATAACTTATGCAGGCTTTGGAATGTTAGGGTATTTAGTGATTTAGATCCTACCTTACCAAACCTCAGATATGCAGTTATTCATTTTCTTCTTTGTGCACTTATGGCTTAGTTCTGTGACAAAATACAGAAACAAACTGCTGAACACATCTACAAATTAGACAATTAAATTCATTAAAAATTAAGATTGAACATTACTTGCTATTACAAAGCTTTTTTCTTAGGAAACGAGTAATTTTAGAAAAAGATTAAAAAACAGTATTAAATTTTCACTGACTTGTTTTTTCATCTGGATTTACCATTTCTTAACAAAAGGATTTCTTTTTAACATTTGGAATATAAAAAGAATGCTTATATTTAACCAAAATCCATAGATACTTATTTTTTAATTTGCATGTACGTCTGTTCTGTACTGGCTTAAGCGAAATGCAGTTTTTAATTTAATAAAGTATCTGTTCATGAGATGAATGGCACCTGCCTGTAATCCCAATACCTGGGGGAAAGGAGCACGAGTTTGAGGCTAGGCTGGGCTACACATGAGACCCTGTTCCAGAACAAAACCAATATGTTAGCCTGTATTGCTCCCTAAGTGCATCTTTACTTTACAAGTGAAACTATAAAAGTGCAAATTCTTCACCCTGATTTATTGCAGGTATTACAGGTTGCTTTCTTAAGGTGGCACATTGGCAGGACTGCTGTTTCCTGACACTGAATATCTGGAAACGAACTGCCTTGGACAGTTTTATTATCTAGAACGAAAGAAGCATGCATGCATGTATGTGTGCGTGTGTATGTGTCAGGGAATAGGCTAAGTGACTTTTCCACAGCTGAAAATAGGTTTTAATAGAAGACTGATAGGAAATGAATATAAGTAATAACCATTCCTGATAAAGTAATGAGGGAGCTTCAAGTTAAAACTAAAAATGTAAATCAGTAGTATTATAAAATATTAAAAACTAGCTAGAATTACATGCATAGATGTTTAATTAGGAATTACAGAAGAACTTAAATACAGGATTTGTCAACAATAAACATTTTTTAGTGCAAATAGTGCAGAAAATTTTCTCAAAACAAATATAGCAATCATTCTAATCTATACAAAATCAGTCTCAGGTGTGTATACAATCTATAGTGCATCTGGATTTCAGCCATGGTCATGAAATGCCAATTTGAAGTCATAAATATAAAACAATGTGCTTAGTTTTGTGTCCCATTTCTTTCTTGGTTCATATTTTCAGGAAAATCTGAAATGAAAAGAATTTTAAACTTGAGATTTAATTTAAGATTATAAACATTCATTCCATTACACTGTCTTCCTCTTTTGAGTACAGTAACTTGACTGGGAGGGAATTGGGTAATGAAAAGATTTCAGTATGTTCTGATCAATAATCTATTTTCTCTTCTTGGGTTGGGATGAAGACAAACAGTGTAAAAATGAACTCAATATGGAAAATAGGAAAAAACAATTCAGAGTTGGTAGTAATTCAATTAGAACTAGAGATAAGAAATGCCTATCACCGCTCCCCTTTTCAAAGAATCCCCCACGCTCCTCCATCAGCCTGGATGGCTTCGTGCAGGTAATTTATCCATCTCTCCTAGGGATTTGTATTGCAAGGAGATGCTCAGCAGTCTTCACCAGCTGCTATGAGCAATAATTGCTGATGCTGATGAAGAAAACAAGGCTGGTGGTGCAGGTCAGTTCTAGAGTACTTGCTGAACACATGTAAAGCAATGAGTCTGATCCCAGCAATATAAAAACAAAAACCAGACTCAGTGCAGAAATGAGAAACAGCCAGCCTGAAAAAGAAGAGCTATTTTGGTTACTGGGTGGCTTTCAGTGTTTCTCAGTAACTGGACTGTACTTTCTTCATTTTTGCTCAATGGTATCTTTGCGTTCTCCTTCAGGAAGAAGCTCTTAGTTTGTGGAGTTTGAGGTGGTCTGAATGAGAAGTACCCCCACAGGTCTGGGTGGTCGAGCACTTGCTGCTCTTTTGGGAGGTGATGCAGCCTTGCTAGTAACTCGCTCTGGGTGGAGAGAGCGCACTGTACTAACAGTCTGCTCTCTCTTCATTTGTGTGGTTGACGATGGGATCTTAGCTTCCTGCACTGGTGACGTGGGGCTATGCCTCCCTCACCATCATGGACTCTTCTTCACGAACCATTAACACAAACTCTTCCATCGATAACTTGCTTTGCTTTGGTCATGGTATTTTATCCCAGTAGTAGAACTAATACAGAGAAGCATTTTCTTTCTCTTTCTTTCTTCTTTTTTTCCCCTGTTTTCCGAGTTCCTCTGTGTAGCCTTGGCTGTCCTGGACTCGCTTTGTAGAACAGAGAACCACCTGCATCTGCCTCTTCAAGTTCTGGGATTACAGGTATGCACCATTTTGTCCAGCTCAGAATTTTCTTTCTTAAACAAAACACTCCTAAAACAAGTGGATAGGAGAAGCAAATGTGCTTGAGAACTCCAAGAACATAGATGAGAAGATAATGGTAGAAGAAAGAACCTACCTGAGGGGAAAATGCAAACTTTCATTAAGGACACCGTCACACTGAAAAATATCTCTAAGGTTTCTCCTGGTTACAGGCTTACTTACACAGCGGTGTGTTTAACGTGTGTCAGCATTTTGTAACAAACAACAACTATATGACAGAGTAGGCTCACAGCAGAGTGAAAGGCACTGTTTGGAACTATTCCATTAAAGAATACTTGTGTAATAGCCTTGAGGTACTAGCTGGAAATATTTACCTATAGAGGAGCATGATATTGGCTGTGCATTGCTATCACCTGGTGAAGCTTCTCTTCTTTAGCTCTTCTACAGTGGCAAATCTAGAAGATAAATTATTTAAAATACCAGTCACTTTTCCAACTACTTCCTACATTACAACAGAATTCCAAGTATTATTTTAATATTCCAATATTTTAATTTCTTAACAATTTTCTAACTTTTTAACATTTAAGGTAATTAGTGATTCCTCAGAATTTAGGAATCCAAAACATTAAGCTTTATTTGAAAGCAATCTGACTACAAATTTTCCTAATGTTAAACTCTGATTATTTAATTCCGCATGCCTGTGCTTTAAAAACACAGTGCTAAACCTTGCTCTTATTAACCATGAAAAATTAGGAACAAAGACTTCTATGTAGCTATATAGAATAAATGGATTGGAAACCAATTTCTTACTAATATTATAAACAAAGGCAAGTTACTAACCATCTCATGAAAAATGGAACTCATAAAATCTGCCCTGTCTTCTTTAACAGGTTACACACATACAAGCATACACTCAGAAAAACACACTCCCATACACACACATTTCATAAAACTTACTAATTAACAAATGATTGCATCTGAGATACTGGGTAAACAATTAGGACTATATTAAACAGCATGAAGCTGTTAGGCATATTTTTTTACTTGAATACAATGGAAACATCAGAATAGAACCTCTTCTAGAAAGTTCTAAATAGTATTTAAATTATTATTTTTTAATGTCTGTAAGTTATTCTGTGTTTAAAGAACTTGTAAAATAGGTTGTTTTTCAGAAGAGTAGTACAAGTGATTTACCAGCTCTTATACAATGATAAAGATACTATCATTTCTGAAAGAGAACTATCATTTGATTTACCTGCTTGTATACTCAGAACTAACAGGTTTAAAGAGACAGCAGAGTGCTGCTATCCTTCCCCAAAGAGGCTTTTCAGATTCCGCTCAGTATCAAAATTAAGCTTGGTAATGTGTTAACAATTTTTACTTATGAACACAATTATAAAAATTGATATTATGTTGTCACTCATCTTCAATTGAAGAGTATTACATACTGTTCTCTTTTCCTTGAAGCTACTGAGAAAATCATCTATTTCAGTTTTTCCCTCCAAGAAATCTTCAGCAATATTATCAGACTCTTCCTCAGCTTCATGTGCAGCTACTTTCAATCTTGCCTGTAGGGCACTTGCACTACAACTCTGAGAACAAACAAAACAATTCAGGCATTGCATTAATCTCGGAGAAACCATAGAGGGGGGGAAATGAGGCAGAGACATAAAAAGCACTTTATTTACACAGGTCTTCAGTATAGCTACTGTCTTGGTTAGGTTTCTTCTATTGCTGTGATGAAACACCGTAACTAAGTAAACTGGGATGAAAGGGTTTATTTGGCTTACACTTCCACAACACTGCTCATGACTGGAAAAAGTCAGGATAGAAACTCAAGCAGGGCAGGAACCTGGAAGCAGGAGCTGATGCAGAGGCCATGGAGGAATGCTGCTTTTGGCTTGTTTCTCATGGCTTGCTCAGCTTGTTTTATTGGAGGCTAGGGATCACACCACCCAACTCCCCCATCAATCACTAATTATTTAGAAAATGTACTACAGGCTTGTGTACAGCCCAATCTTATGCAGGTATTCTCTCAATTAAGACTCCCTCCTCATTCCTACAACTTTTGTCAACATGACATTAAAATTAGCAAGTATGGATACTGTGAACTGCTGAGAAAAACGATAAACCATTAATCTATCCTGTATATTTTGGGATTGAAATCACTGTGAGAATAGTCAGAATACCCAATGACCACATCACCTTGTATTTCCTGTTCTTGCATATCCTTGATAATGTATGAACTAGTTAAACAATTCATTTCTAACAACAACAACAAAAAAAATGTGACAAAAGCAAAGGGATTTAAATATGACCACAGAAGCAGATAATATGCACACTAAAAACCATAAAACATAGATGAAAAAACCCTAAAGATACAAATAAGCGGTCATAGCTTAGAAGATTTAAAACTGGTATGATGGCAATGGTAAATCAAAAGATCTACAAAACTGACACAATATCATAAATTTCAAGAACCTTTCATTGAAAAAAGTATCCTAGATCTTTTGGTTCAGTTGCTCTCCTTGTGAAGCTCAGGTCCTCTCTAGGTCTTTTATCTCCCCCTTCTTCCATAAGATACCCTGCACTCTGCCCAAAGTTTGGCTATGAGTCTTAGCATCTGGTTCGCTACCCTGCTGGGTAGTCTTTCAGAGGCCTTCTGTGGTAGCTCCTTTCCTGTTCCCTGTTTTCTCCCTCTTCTGTAGTCTATCCAGTTTGCCTTTCTGAATGAAGATTGATCATCTTACCCAGGGTCTTCCTTCTTGCATAGCTTCTTTAGGGTGTACAGATTTTAATATATTTATCCTATATTATATGTCTAATATATACCATGGTATATAAGTGAGTATATACCATGGTTCTTTTCTGAAATGGATACTTCAACCAAGGACCATGAATAGAGATAACCTAGAACCCCTGCACAGATGTAGCCCATGGCAGCTCAGTCTCTAAATGGATTCCCTAGTAAGGGGAAGAGGGGCTGTCTTTGACATGAACTCGGTGGTTAGCTCTTTAATCACCTCCCCCTGAGGGGGGAGGAGCCTTACCAGGCCACAGAGGAAGACAATACAGCCAGACCTGATGAGACCTGATACTGATAGGCTAGGGTCAGATGCAAGGGGAGGAGGTCCTCCACTATCAGTGAACTGAGGGAGTGGCATGGGAGAAGAGGGAGGGAGGGTGGATGGAATTGGGAAGGGACATGGGAAGGGGCTACAGCTAGTATACAAAGTGAATAAACTGTAATAAAAATAAATAAATTTTTAAAAAGTATTCTAACATTCATATGGCTTAACAACACTCCTTCCAACCTAACAAAAACCCAACATCAGGCATGGGAAATCCTTCTTTGGTTTTGTTAGTTAGATGTCCAAGAGACTCCCTACAGGCTACTGCTACTGCCCCAGGGGTATAAGGTAAGTCCTTATTGCTAAAGACACCATGCTCTTCAAACACAAGGCCTTAATGTTCTTAAGCTGGAACTGACTTGAATGCTCCACCATCAAGACTAGCTTTCATGATATGAAAGCACCACGCAAACTTCCAAAGGAGGGAAGGCATCAGCTCTAACGCTGATGAACCACAGTAATAATAAGCAGGTCCTGATAACTCAGAAGTGTAGTAGTGGCATTCACACCTTGGAAGTAAATGGTTTTAAGACCTGCTTCTAAATGGTCTGAAGACCTGCTCAACAAACAGAGAATCATGCCTGTTACTGGGACCTAGACAACTCAACAGGCTAGTAAAGTTATGGTTCTTAAAGAACATACAACCACTGCTTTACTAAACCAGCATAATCCTTCATTCACAGAAAGGTAAGTCCTCACCCACCATCAAAGAAACTTCTCTTTTCAATACAAGAAGACAATTTCGCAAAACTACAACTAATCAAAATACAGAGTTGTGCAGCCCAGTCCAAACACATGCAAAACAACTCAGGCAGCTAAGGCTCAGAGAACATTGGAATGATTGTAAGAGCCAGAGAATCAGGGAGTTTGCTGTGAGATTTTGTCTCCTAGTAATATCAGAAGATATCTACAAAGTCTCACCAACATAACTATTGGTTTTTGTTTTTCAAGACAGGTTTCTCTGTATAGCCCTAGTCATCCCGAAACTCACTATGTAGACCAAACTGGCCTCAAACTCAGAGATCAACCTGCCTCTGTCATCTGAGCATGGGGATTAAGAGTGTGTGCCACCATCTCAGGCCAATTTCTACGAATCACCTCAAGCAATTCTTTCTGGTTTTTGTTGTTGTTTTGTTTTTGAGAGAGACAGGGTTTCTCTGTGTAGCCTTAGCTGTCCTGGAATTGCGTTGTAGACCAGCAAGGCTGGTCTTGAACTCAGAGATTCGCCTGCCTTTGCCTCCCCAAGTGTTCGGATTACAGACGTACATAAATGTCCAGGGGCAAGAAAAAATGATAAAGCTGAACTGTGTTGGTGGCAGGGATGTAACTGAGGCCTTACAAATGCTCAGTAAATGTTCTACCTCTTAGCCCAAAAGCAGAATTATTTACGAGACATTTGTTTTCACTTGCAGTTGAGTTTCCTACTTTCTTGTTTGCTCTTTATTATCCAATAACAATATCTCTGCTGCCTACATTATACATGTGTTCTTAAAAAAAAAAAAACCCTTCATTTTCAATTTTTTAGTACATATATATTCTAAGTTTATATATTTATGTGAACATTTTTCCCTGTATGCTTTTACTTTCTATTACAATTAGAAAATGAGCCTTCATTTTTTTCCACACAAAAATCTTTTTTAAAAATTCCTAGGAATTAACTGATTTTTTTATTTTCTACTGAAGCTGTATGGATAGTATCTTTCTAAGCTTTGTATGATATGATCTTTATGAGGATTGATATAAAGGATCAAGCCTATTTCTGACTAATAAACAATCACATAATTTGTTGAATCCTGAAATTTTTCCAGTTATCACTCACATACACAATTCTATTTTGGAAATGCGACCTGCTCTATACAACTATTTTTCATCTTTCTACAAAATCATGCATCATTTTAAATGAGACTTCACAGTATATTCTGCTATTGATGAAAGCATGTTTTTCTCATCTTTTTTGTTGTTACTGTTCCTCTCCTTCCTTACTACTTTAATCCATTCAGACTTCATAAAAACCCAATCTGCTAAAATTTAAAAACATATTTGTGAGATTGATTGGAAATACTGAACTTTTAAGTCATCGTCCAAAGAATCAAATCTTAATACTCTTTCATTCTACTGATATCCTATGCTGTTTTAACTAAAGAATATAAGTTTTCTTATATGTCATTTAGCAGTTTCCTAACTTATGTAGCTGGTTCTAAGTACTTTAAGGTTCCACTTCTATTATAAATGAAAGTTTGCCTGTTTTTCCATACCTCAGTTTGCAACAGTAATTGCTGAAACTATGAGAAAAGTTTTCCCATTTCTCTAACACTCTATGAATTAACAACAGCCTACTTGTGCTTTCCCAATGTGTGAGTCTCTTCCCTCTTACTGCAGTGCTGGATACATCTCAAGCAATGACAAACAACACAGGCAGGTATTTCCAACATCTACTATGACGTTCCTTGGTGATTTCCAATGATTTCTTATTCAGTTAAAACAACACTATCTACTTTTAGTTACTAAGGACTAGTGTAAAGGAATGATGTTGATTCCCGTGAAAAACTACTAAGCTCCTGCGTGCTGTCCTGAGTGTTTCAGGTATTCCTGAGAGAACCAGATAGCTTGGGTAAGTTCCCAACTCTAATACTCCTATCCCTATGACCGTGAGAAACCTATTTAACCTAATGTGATTCAATTTCCTTATCTAAAAAATAGAGTATCAGGTAATTCTTTTCTCGTGGAGCTTGTGGTAATACTGGGTAAATATGTGTAAGTGATTCAGTCCCAGACACATAATGATTGCTCAATATTAACTTTTATTATATTTATTTTAAAGGATGGTTCTTTGCAAAGTTCATTATAAATTTTTGTTCTGCTTTATCTGCTTTTAGCTGTGGTTTTATCTGTTTTATAATATACTGACTTTACCTTCCAAAATTCAATTTTAAGGGAATAAGATCATTATTAACTACAACACTTCTTACTGCAATGAGCTATAAATATTACATCTTCCATTTTTTTATTTTTAAAGATTTTTTTTCTTAAGTGTAAGTTTACTCTTATAAAATATATTTCATTTAAAATATCTTTCATTGCTAGGTTTTATTATGAGTATTATTACTTTCCTAATTTACTGGCTTCATTCTTATGGGTTTTAGAACTAGAGAAACTCTGGGACGAACACCATCACTGTGCTTACAGGCATCAGCTTCATAACATCAGACAGGCAGAAACTGTCCCTGATGAAGGGAAAGCAAGGGAAGGGCCAAGCACCTGTAATTAGCAGCTCTCATGAGGAACAGAAAGACTGATTCAGTCATACCTCACTGAGTTCATGTTGCCTTTGCATCTTCTTTTCAAAGGTAGATTTCATTTGTATAAGTAATTCATACTGAAAGAAAACATAAAGTTGCTATTTAATTTGATTTTTGATCTATAAACATATTTTCAAAATGATCAGTAGCAACTCACCTTATCTAAAACAGTTTGTCTTTTGGTTTCCAAACTATGCTCCAAAAGGAGATTTTTTCCTGTAAAATAAATCTTTGGCTTATTTCCCAATACTGATCACATTTTTGTCATGAATTATGAATGAAGGCAAAGGGAAACATACTTGCTAACTCCTCGATACTTTTTACTAGGTCTTCCTTGTCAGTAATGATTTGTTTTAGTTGAGGCAACATTAGAAACTGTTCTAGTAATACCTCCTCCTGTTCATTCATGTCTGTAAGCTGGGACACACTAGAGACACAAGAGAAAAAGCAAACTGTTAATAAATATCAGTCAACTAACTTCTCCATGAAGCTAAATGTTCACAATTCTCCAGCTTGACTTGTGAAATAGCAAATTTTATGTGGCACAAGCTAGAGTCATCTAAGAGGAAATCTCAATTGAGAAAAGTGCCTTTGTAAGACTAGGCTGAAGGTAATCCTCTAGCGCATTTTCTTAATTAGAGATTGATGGGGGTGGGCCCAACCCATTGTGGGTGCTTGAAAAAAAAGGAAACCCAGCAAGACTGAGAGCAAGACTGAGTCATTTGCACAGCTGCCCAACAGAGCTGGACAGAAGGGCTTGAGAAACAGGTAATAATAAAAATAGTGGACAACAGACACATGGAAGCTGATCACATTTCATAGTTTTGGTGTTTTCACAAGTTTTATAGTAGGTAAAGAAGGAGAAAAGAAATATATTTTATAAAATAGCCTTATTTCTTGGAACTTGAACTTTTTAATGCATATTGAACTGTTAAGATATATGCAGCACATATTTCTGTTATGGAACTTTATTCTTTAAAAATTATTTCTCAGCTGGGTGTGGGGGTGCACATCTTTAATCCCAGCATTTGGGAGACAGAGACAGGCAAATGTCGTGAGTTCACGGCCAGCCTGGTGTACAAAGCGAGCTCAGGACAGCCAAGGATACACAGAGAAACCCTGTCTCAAAAAACAACGACAAAAATCTTGTATTTATTAAAATACTAGATCAAATAAAGTCAAACTTTATTTCTTTTTAATTACAGGATTGTTTACAGGTTTTAATCTGTATAATTCTGGTCGAATATAACCTAAAGACATAAAATTACAGAAAATCTGTAATTGTATACCCTGGCCTATTAAGTAGTAGCCTCATGGATATTATAAATACTTAGTGGGGTACATGGTATACCCACTAAAGGAGAGACCAGAAAATGCTTTATTCATGGCACATCTTAAAGTCTATGAAAAACAATGCCTTAAAATTGAATTCTGCCACCTTATCTGCTATAAATTTAAATAAAATATTGGCTCTAAAATTAGTTTTCTAATATATTATGATAGCTTTAGTCTACTCATCTATACACAATACTAATCTACTGAAGAAACAAAGACCTATTTTGAAATTATCAGAATTTAAGATATGCACAAGCCACATGAGAGAAAATAACTTCTGTTACCTTGGTAGCCATTACATCTTTCTTGCTTTCTCTAGAGCAATCCCTAGTACACACCAGTCATGTAACAATTCATCAGACTAAAGGTGATTTATATGAGTTTACCCACTAAGAAAACCACAGGAAAGGAACTGTGAAAACTTTTAAATCATTTTACTTAATCTTCAAGTTCTTTACCTTAGTTCTGAAAGCTCTGGAAATGAATCAGGGATATCCGGCATCTTATAACCAAAACCATTTTGGTTAATCTAAGGAAGAATTTTAAAGAGTATTAAATCTCAGCTATACTTCTGATTGGTCTCATCTACCTTCTAGAAGTAACTGTAAAGTTACTGCATCTGGTAGTGCTTTTGCTATCTATGACACCTTCATCCTTGTACATCACACATACATATATTCCTTCCCCATCAGTCTATTTCTCGGTGTACTTTTATACAGAGAGCTTATATTTTTTCATCGTGTGCTTTGTTCAGTATATCCCACATGATAGCCAAACAGATCTATTACAGGCAACTTACAAACATGCCATCTGGCATACAGTGCAAGGCATCCGTCAAAGTTTTCCAACCACATAGTGCTTTATGCACCCTCTCATTATCCTCAAAATTTTATAACCATCTTTTAAAATCCGGCCTCAAGCATAAATGCACCCATTCATTTATCTACCTCATTTTCACTGAGCAACTGCTTTGTGCACAGTATCAAGTGCTGGGGATAGAGCAAAAAACTGGAATGATTATTATTTCTGAATACCTATTTCACAGGTACAAAATACAGACTCTGGGAAGTTCCCTGTGTTCAAATTTGAGACTCATACTCCAACCAAGGACTATTCATGGAGATAGCCTAGAACCCCTGCACAGATGTAGCTCATGGCAGTTCAGTGTCCAAGTGGGTTACATAGTAATGGGAAGAGGGACTGCCTCTGACATAATCTGATTGGCCTGCTCTTTGATCACCTCCCCCTGAGGGGGGAACAGCCTTACCAGGCCACAGAAGAGGACAATGCAGCCACTTCTGATGAGAACTGATAGACTAAGATCAGAAAGAAGGAGAGGAGGACCTCCCCTATCAGTGGACTTGGGGAGGGGCATAAGTGAAGAAGGGGGAGGGAGGGTGGGATCCGGAGGGGAGGAGGGAGGGGCTTATGGGGGGATACAAAGTGAATAAAGTGTAATTAATAAAAGTTAAATAAAAAAAAAAAAGAGTAATACAAGAAAAAAAAATATAGACTCCTAAAGATACCAACCGATGCGGAAGATTCTGTTGTGGGAACGGGTAATGGCAGACTTGAAAGGACACCAAATGAAGGAGCCACCGGCTTGGCTGCAGTGTAACTTGTGGTTGAAGAAGAAACAGTGTCTGCTACAGACAAAGATGTGATATTCCTGTTAGCTTCTTGTGGAGGATATGGAGGAAGAAATGGAAAACCCTGCGAAGGGTAAGGAGGCATCCCACTGGGACTACTATACAGGCTGAAGAAAGAAAGAGAAGATCATTAGGTAGGATATTAAGAGTCAAATTACCCGTAAATTGTCTTAAATAACAATGGTCATGCATGTCCACATATGGAAATTTCTTTTGGCAAGTGATTTCATAATTAAATTAAATTATGTAAATCATAAACTATTAACACCTCAGAAGAAAGTGTGGTTTCTATGAAAAGAAGGAAGAATGCTCTAAAAGGCAAACAATCCTACTGCTGTGTGTAAAAGTCTATCAGGATTCATTATTAAGTTTTCAGTATTTCAGTGATATCATTTAGTTTTGTTTCTTCATGAGAGGATCTAATCCAGAAAGTTTACTCAAGTGGATGTTGTTAAGTAGCTTTCAATATTGGACAATATCTACCTTAAAGTTGAGAATGTTTTTCTAGAAATTTTAAAAGAAAAATCAAATATATAAATGAGCTATTATGATGTTTAAAACACTGCAAACACTTTAGTATGTAAACACAAATGAATATTTTTAAAGAGTAGCAAATCATTATTTACCTGGGACTTAATCAGACAGTAAGTTAATCAATATTTATTTTAGAAAGGAGAAGAAGCTAGCTTCAATGGCCCACACATTTAATTTCAGCACTAGGGTGAAGCAAGCAGATTTCTATGAGTTCAAGGCCATTCTGTCTACATAGTGAGTTCTATACCAGCCAGGCTACACAGGGAGTCCTTATCTCAATTAAAAAACAAAAACAAACAAACAAACAAACAAAAAACCAAAAACTAAACAAAACAAACAAAAAAAAAACCCAACCAAACAAAAAACTGAGAAGAAATCAAATTACAGAAGAGTAATTTGTACTACTTCAGCCTAAATGAACACTAAAAATTTATATAAATATAAACATTTGAGCTAATAAGTTGATCAGTCACTCTCATCTAAAAGAAACGGTGAAAAGGTGCTTATGGGTTTATTTTGGTGATAAAACTAAGTAACTACTCAAGACGTAATTACATACATCCTACGGACCAAGGCATCGTTGAATGTGCCCATGCCACCATTAAGATGTATTTACAAAAGACAAAAAAGGGGGAATTATATCCTCATCGTTCATTCAGAGCTCAATTAAATCATGTACTTTTTATTTTGAATTTTTTAACTGTGGACAAACATGGCAAATCTGCAGCTAAACGTTTTTGGCACCCTAAAACCTCCATGGTTAAATGGAGGGACCCCTTGAATAATACATGGCATGGACCCGACCCCATTTTAATTTGAGGTTGAGGATATGTTTGTGTTTTCTCGAAGGTTGAGAATGCTGCTCAGTGACTGCCAGAGACTGGTGCAACAGGTGGATTACATCAAGGAACAAGATCATTACCTGAGTGACAATATTGCTAATCGTGTTGCAGTTGATTCATCCAATGAAGGCTGACTTACACCTTTGGGCCTTAGTGCCAAACACCCCCTCTTGTTGCTGGTCTGGTACTATTCATCTATGTAATTGCCAGATGTATCCACTTAGCTCGACAGCACCAAGCTAGATTTAATGACACCAGGCACAAAATCGTTTTGGCCACTGAACAGCAGCATGCTGTTACTCCCTCGCCCTAGGTAGGGGCTTGGCTTGTCCAGCTCAAATGTGAGCTTTAACCTCTCCTTTCCTGTGTGATGGGCCGGTTAGTCAATGACAGGTAAGGAGTGATTGATAAATGCTCACCTAAGGCAGGAAGTCCCCCTATAATCGGGATGCTGCCATGACATGTACGCTGTTTATTTGGAATCACTCCGTCTAAGAAAGGCACAGCCCTTTTGTTTTAATTCGAAACGGAGGAATTGTGGCAGCCCATTTGGAGTTAATGGCAAATTGGAGTGTGCATCTCAGCAGTGGAATTCGGCCTCTTATCTCTTACCTCCTGGTTCTTATCTAAAGCTTGGTGTCTCAGAGATTGGCCCTGGCAATTTTACAGCAGAGGGCTCTGACCCTGAAAACTAGACAATAAATTCCATGCAACCATGGTAACCAGACAGCAGGTTCTGTGTAACTTTGAATGAGCTCTCATATGTTTTGGCTAAGTAAAAATTGCCTCCATGAGAAACTGCTTATACTTTCCTGCTATTTAAGTGTTAACTTGATATTCAGTAAATGACACCATGATCAGAGCCTAGACCTGGTGTCCTTCTTTGTGTCACCCTATCTCTTTCCCCCAGCCTTCACTCAGGTGGTATCCAGGTGTCACTGCAGGACAGTGAGAAACTACTACAACATTTCACTTTATATTAGTATATATTCTAAGTTGCATAAAATTAATGTTTGTAGAACCACTATAATCTCATTTAATGACAGAAATTAACCTGAGTTGGAAATTCTATTAGAAGAAAACATTCATTATGGATTTTTGAAGTATTTATTCCTAGTGACACTAAAAGTTTACATGAAAAATAGTCAAAAAGAAAATAATCTGCATAAGGAAAAAGAGATATTACCTCTTCCACACGGCAATTATTTTATATTATTTTATATTGTTATATTTTATATAACAATAATTTAAAAATTAACACATAGTAATGTAGTGAATAGTTAGGAGGATTAGTTTAAATAAATATAAAGTATAGAAAAAATGTTAAAGTTGAAAGTATAAACAGCAGTTGAAAAGCAGTACTGTAATGTTTGACAAAAAGTTGGAGCCAAGCACTTATTCTCATAATAGGATGAAAACTTTAAGTTCGATAAAATAAAGAAAAGGATCTTTAAAACAGTAAACAATGTATAATTAAACTGTTAGATAACAAATAAATAACTTTTTATTCTTACAGATGGGCAAAGATCTATTCTGACAATATCCCATACTGGAAAAGGCATGGATGGGCATTGTGTAAGTAAAGACTGGTATAACTATGTTACAGAACAATTTTGCAGTATTTGTCAAAATACTATTTCTAGAAGAAATGAAAATATTAAAATGCACAATAAGAGATGTAATATCAAATTTACAAGGAATTTCATAAAGATAGGATAGTGAGTTAGAGTCACAACTAGGTGGTAAAGCAAGCATAGCATACATAGATCTTGGGATAAATTCCCAGCACACACAGAAAAAAATGTAGGCCTATTTTTGCTAGTGAGTGTTTTTTTTTAAAAAACTAAAAGACCACCTTAAAAAGAGAAATATAAAACCTAAGAAACAAATAATTCAATATATGAAACCAGCAAAGAAAGATCTGATGAAAAAAACAAAGTTACTGAATGAGATCAGTGTAACAGAAATGGAGTGTAACTAACAAGGATAAGGTGTGTAGGAATGGGGGATGACACACACAAAAAAAACCAACCAACCAACCAACCAACTAAACAAAGAACCTAGAAATTACATGTTCTAAAAATACTTAGCTCAGCAATGGCTAGTATTTAGTCAAGTAACAAAAACACCAAATAGACGTGTAAAATCACAATATAATTTCACTAAGAGCTAAAATCCCCACCTATTACAATAAGAGGCCAAGAGGTAAAAGACAAAATGAAATTCATGATTAGCATCACATAGCAATTATCACAAAGAAGGTGGGTGAATAAACAGCTACGACACACAGACACACAGACACACAGACACACAGACACAGACACACACACACACACACACCCCACCCTCTGAAAACTATGGCTTTATAGGCATAAAGGTAAGTATGAGGCAATCAGAAAGCTGTCTTGAACTTGAACATTATTTCAGTCCCTTTAAACGACATCTTACTTACGATAAATGAAAGCATGTGCTACAGTTACATACTACAAATATACTTACTATGGAAATGCTGTTGAAGGAGGAGCTAAAACTGGAGGATTCTTCCAGAACTCATCCAAAAGACTTTGAATAATTTTTCCAAGATCTGAGTGCATTGTAAACTGAAAGTAACAGTAATACATAATGATAAAAATCCTCTCAAAAAAGAATGACAAAGTTTCATGGGATTAAATGTCATTCTAAATCAGTGTTTGAGGCAAGAATAAACAGCAAAGGAGGCTGGAGTGGTGGCTTACTAGATAAGGGCACTTGATGTTTCTGCCCAGGCCCCCAGTTCAGTTCCTAGCATCTACAAGCGGCTCACAACATTGCCAGTTTTAAGTGACCCGCCACCCAGCTCTGGCCACTGTGGGCACTGCACATGTGGTGCACTTACATGTAGGCCCAGCACTCATACACATAAAATAAAAATAAAGAATAAACAGAAAAACAGAGAGCACTGTGTCAACATGACTTATAACACTTTCTCACAGATCAGAACTATAAATATTTGGCGACTAGCAAATCAGGTTAAAAGTCTTTTCAATCAGTAATAGAGCTAAAATATCCCTACAACTCACACTTACAAATAATTTGATTGTTCAAAGGTAAATACTCAGGGTGTATTTAAGTTTCACCTTGTCACATTAATCAACCACATTTTATCCATGGATTTCAATTCATAGTCTTAACAGTACATCTAGGGGAAACTTTTAAGATTACTAATTTCAAAATGAAATTTTCAGTACACTTCAGATTTGTAGAATAATAATGTGAGAAATGTGTTTTATTACTCTGAAATAAACTATAGCATATACGTACATTGCTCACTAAAGGAGAGGTAACGTACAATCCTTGATTATCCATTAAGTGATGTCTTATTGGTGGATAAACACTAATAACCGGTTTTTCCTGAGGAAATTGTGGAGGAAGTAATCTAGGAGAGGAATAGCACACAGGGAGAAAACACAAATGAAAATAATTAAACCATGTGACTATAATCCTAATACAAAGTTATTTAAAAGCAAGTTAAACTTTCACATTGACTTATATGCATTAATTCTTTTGTAACCAGTGCCTTATTATAGATTTTGAACAGACTGAAATACACAAAAGATTATGTTTTGGCAAAAAGATAACAGTAATTCAATACTATAGATTCTTTTTCATGTGGAATATGGACAGCATATATTACAGAATAGTCTTTTTAGCAAGACAATGAATTGACTTCAAAGATAATACAACTTGCTGAATAAAAAATTTCAGCTAAAAATTAGATCGCATACTTGTATCAAGCAAATTGCACAATTGGTTAGTTAGTAAATAATGGCTCTGGTTCTGAGTGAGTGAGTGAGTGAGTGAGTGTGTGTGTGTGTGTGTGTGTGTGTTTCACTTGTAAAATTCTGCCTAGAATTATTCAGCATGTATGTACTACTAAAGAGAAAAGGGGTAAGAAGGCAAGTAATTGGGACTGAACTATGATCAAGTCTTCATTTCTCTAACTCCTAAATACTGTACCATACCTCTCTCCTCAAGCTGAAGTAATATCATGTGGTCTGAAATAAAAACTAATTTCTTAATTCAAAAGAGCAAAAACTTTAAACCCTTAAGCACTACAAAATTAAGATTACTTTATGAAATATTTTAACAGGAGTTTAATAAATATAGAACGCTCTTTTCCAAAGAACTCAGAACATTTTCTTTTAAACTTCTCTGCTCATACATTGCTAAGAAAATTATTTGTTAGCAGTGTTATCAAAAAGACTAGGATTTTGTTGTACTCTCCTATCTACCTCTAACTGGGCACTGGATGAAAAATAAAATGAATGCATTTACATAGCTAAGAGTTTGGTGGTTTGTCTGGGTTTTTTTATAGCTAAAATTTTTTAAATTATTTTAAATTATTCTGGTTGACCTTTGGAGCCAACCAATCTGAATTTGTATCATAGCCATTTATTAATAAGTGTGTGTGATCTATCTTAATTTATAAGCTATTATATAGCTTCATAAAGCTCATATTTGTCAAGTTAATGTATTTTAATACTTGCCAGCACTATATATTCATATGTAGGTTTGTTCAGAGAACTAATATTTAATAAGCCTCCTATGTCCACGTGTTAAGTGATGAGACATGAATGTTTTTATTTCACTAAATGGAGCATTATTTTATGTTATAGCTACTCTGAATAAGTTCACTTAAACAGCTTATTTCTGATATTAACTAAAAAACAAAACAAAAAGTTAGTCCTTATTACATGAAATATAAATTCTAATTCTATTCACACATTAATATCATGCTGTTAAGACATAAAGCAAAAATAACACCTAATACAAAAATAGAAACCAATTCTACTTACATATTAATATTAATTGTCAGGTTGTTTACTGTGAAAGGTAATCTGTATTCCACATCTTTTTGTATTTCCGCTATACTGTATGAGAAAATTTGGGGAAAAAAAAGAGATCAATGCTATAAAACTATTAATATCAAAACCAACTGTTGAATACTATAGCCTACTAAAACTTTTTAATTTTAATCACAGAATTTGGATAGCTGATAATATAACTTGTATCTAGAAAGAAAATTACCATAGATGGAAAGGCTTATCAACTATGTAGACATTGATACTCTGAAATATCCAAAGTGTAAGGGAAGGATGCTGAGGAAAACAAATAAAGGGAAGCTCAAATTAATCTTATATTGATTTAATATTCAATTTATCATTAGTAGAAGCAACTGCAAGCCTTCTGGGTAATACAGGTCAATAAGTATCTGAGTTCTAATAACTCTGCCACTATCCAGCTTTATGGCCAGCTAGGGATGTCTGGGTCTTAAGAGCTTAAACCAAGAAGTCTAGATTAATGTCTCTTAGAGTGGCAAAATAATGGCTGCAGGCTGCTTTCCTCATTTCCTCTTCTTCCGAAAAGATGGTAGATTTTATTCTGAAGAGCCACACTTTCGTCTTTCTTGTAACTACCAGTTGTTAAAGACTTGATGTTCCAGCCAATAAAAACGTAAGTTGGTAGTGCGGTGGATTTCCAGGGAAGCACCTTATGGTGGAATTGAAAGAACAGGCAACTACTAGGAGCGCTTTCTGCTTTGCTTGCCTTCTTCCAACTTCCTGTCTGGATGCCAGACTGCACAGGAATAGCCACGTTAAGGCATGAGTGACCTAATAAATGGGCAACAGCACTACATAGCAATAAAACAAGTAGCTGTAGTCCTTGATGAATATGAAATTGCCAGACTCTTGGTTTTTGTTTGCTTGTTTTCTTTTTTCTTTTTTTTTTTTTTGGGGGGGGGGGGCTTGTTGTTTTGTTTTTTGGTCTTTCCCTTTGAGACAATTCTTACTATAAAGCCTTGAATGTCCTGAAACTCCCAATGTAAACCAGTCTAGTCTTGACCTCACAGAGATCGATCTGGCTCTGCGTCCTGAGTACTGAGATTTAAAACAAGTGTTACTTGCCTGGCTTAAGTTTCTTTTATGTGAGATCAAAATAGCTTTATCTTGTTTGAACTACTACTTTGGAAGTCATTATCAAAGCAGAGGTCTCAATGTAAAGCTCTTAAAATTTGACATCCTATAAGCACTGTAGGCATGTTTACAACTAAAATCTATTACGAAATCTGGAACCTTAGGAAGCTCACTTGAAATGTTAACATTCATAATGGTTCTAAGGGGAAACACACTAAATAGCAGTCATTAGTGAATACCATAGACGATACTTAATATTTAAGAATGGCTTACGAAGGATCAGAAGGAAGGAAAAGAAGAACTCCCCATCAGTGGACTTGGGGAGGGGCATGCATGCAGAGGGTGGAGGAAGGGAGGGATTGGGACAGGAGGAGGGAAGAGGACCACAGGAGGGATACAAAGTGAATAAAGTGTAATGAATAAAGAAAAAAAAAAGAATGGTTTACAAAATGCATAATGACTTATTTTCTGTTCTTTTAGTTATTTCAAACTAATAATAGCTTTTATAAAGCTTATTTGTTTTCCTCACTTTTGAACTACTGTATTTTCTGGCCTTTAATAAAAACCTAGCCTCTCAAATATGTAAATCTTATGTACTTTGAAAGATTCCTATGTGTTGATTTCTCAGTTACTTTTCTATTGCTATGAAGCACCACCATGACCAACTCAATGTATAAAAGACAGCTTTTAATATGGTCTTGTTCACCATTTCAGAGGGTTAGCCCTTGACCATCATGGGGGGAGTATAGCAGCAGGTAAGCACAGTGCTGTATCTGTAGCTGAGAGCTTACAACTGATCCACAGGCAGTAGGCAGAGAGAAACTGGACCTGTCATGGACTTTTAAAACCTCAAATCCTCACTCCAGTGACACACTTCTTAGAAGAGTGGTTCTCAACCTTCCTAACTCCAAGACTCTTTAATACAGTTCCTTATGTTGTGGCAACAACCCCCAATCATAAAATTATTTTCGTTGTTATTTCTTAACTAATTTTGCTACTATTATGAATCGTAATGTAAATATCTGTTTTCTGATGGTCAGAGGTGACAGCTATGAAAAGGTCATTCACCCACAAAGGCATTGTTACCCACAGGTTGAGAAACACTGTCTACAACAATCCCATACCTCCTAATTCTTCCAAAATGGTTCCACCAACTGGTGACCAAGCATTCACTTATATGAGCCTATGGGAGTCAATCTCATTTAAACCACCACAGTTGGGATGAAGCTATGGACAATCCTAGACGTAAATAAGCATTTTTCTCTAACACCCTATAGAATGAGGCTGCCACTAATAAGAAACACATAAAAGATTTGATGGCTACTTTTCTGTTTCCATAGCACTGCAGCACCTTCCAGCACAAGGAAAGCTAACCATAAGGGATAAAGCTTCCAGGTCAGAATCAGTTTGATTTTTCTTTGTTCTATAACTCAAGTATATAGTGTCTTCAGCAAACAGGGATTGGGAGCCCGGGTGATCCAGTGCTTTTCATGGGTCCCTGATATATGGAGAAGGAATGTAATGGCCTGTAGCCAGAGCCTTGGGGGAGCTGCAACTTCCAATTGGGGAACCCAATGCCTTAAAGTATGGTTATCAGTCCCAAGGCCACTCTGTTCTCAGTCTTGTGACACACTTGAGATATCCAGACTTTTCCCACTATGAGAGCTTTCTGTGGACTCTTTCCATCCCATGTCCTCCCCCAACTTCTAAGACCCCCCCACCTCAAACCACTTGCAAACTGTAAGATGCTGTATTTTTTAATAAACTTGTTTGGCCTAAGGCAGAACGATATGCTGGTCCAGGCTGACAGGGTCCTACCATGAAATTCTGGTTGGAGGAGAAAAGTAATCATCAATCTTACCCATCTATGAACCCCAAAAGCTACAATAATAACTGGCCAGCAAGGCATGTGCACTGGTGCAGTAGAGGCACAAACACAACAGAAAACCCTGCTACTTTCAGGTTGTATTTACAGCCCTCTTCACAACATGATACCCATACCCCGCACCATTACCGGGACAAGAACCTGTAGCTAGAGGGTCATATGGCGAGGGGAGAACAGCTAAATGACACGGAAGTAAACAACAGCCTAATGACTTAGTGCTATACTCACAGATTAATGTACCTCTCAAACTTCATCAGAAAAGCTTGTATTTGCAATAGATGGTGATTAACAGAGACCTACAACTGGCCAAGTTACAGAGACTAATAATAAGAGACTAAGGAATGTTCAGCACTAAATGGGGCATCTACATCAAATCCTCTCCTCAAGGCTGAGGGACCACTGTGAAAGGGGGTTGGGGGAGAATATAAGATCCAGAGGTTGTTGATAAGTACAAGGAAGCAATATCCTCCAGATACAGCAAGATATATATGAACTCAAAGCAAGTGTGACAATGTGTGTTGGGGACACAGGTCTTTATAATCAGAGAGAAGCACTAAGAGAACCAGGGATGTTAATCCTACAGGGGTGTCTCCTCAACGGAGGTGATAAATATCAAATACCTGCATTCTATCCAGAAGGCTGAAAGCAGATTTTTGTTAATGACCTGGCGGCCTTTGTGTTACCTGTGGAGGTACTCACCCACCTTTTGCTATAGAGGCAGATGTCACCCAAACTTCCCAAAACAATTATCTCAGACTCTTCCCTCCCTAGACCATGACCCATCCTGACCCATCCTTAGGGGAGATGTCACATGTACTTTATGGCCTGCTGACCTGTATGCTGTCAATTGGAGACTAGATTCTAGGCCTTTTAGCTATAAAACCCTCATGGTCGTACATACTAAGAGTCTGTATGTAGTCACACCTTCAGCTTCATGTACTGTGCACCTGAAAAGGGGCTGACTGGACTGACTGCTGGCTGAAAACCTTGCTCCAGATTGTACCATATTTTAAAGGTGCTGACAATGAACCGCCCGGCATTAGACTCCCCAAGTCTGACCCAGACCTAGCAACTAGGAAAAGGGAATCGGACAGCACATTCTTGAAGAAGCTTCAGGTGCAAAATAAAACATGGAGCCTGATACAATTTTAGCCGGAAAGGTTTTCCAAAGGCCTACATGACAAAGATTTGGTGCCTACATTGGTACTAATGAAAAAGAGTGAAGCTTCTAAGTGGCCCACTGAGTGTGGAATTTAGGTTACTAGAAGCCTGTGTCATAAAGAACATTAGAGGACCAAGCTTCTTTTTCTTTTTAAACCTTGCTATCCAGTGAACAGTTGTGCAACCCTCACTGCGGGTCTCAAAACAGGGCGAACTAGTGAGAGGTGGAAACCTCCTACTCTCCCACTGAACAACACTTGGATTTATTATTTTTTTAATGAGGTTAATCTTGTTAACAACTAAAACTTGACTACATTTTGTTTGTACTTCTGAAAAAAATGTTTCATCATGTTTTCTAGGCAGGCCTTAAGCTATGTAGTTCGTCTATGCTAACTTAAATATGATGTCCTACCTCTGTCTGCTGAGAGCCGGGACTGTCACATGTGGCAGCTTTTGTTTACACAGCTTTAAATATGCTCCTTTTCTGGCTATTCTCAAATTTTTCTACATCTGTCTTCCAAATTTGTTTGCTCTCAAGAGCATCCATGCTGCTGCTTGAATGCCATGTTGCTTTGAAATTGCATGCACCACAAAACTACTCCATTAGCTTCAAGCTCAGCCATAAAGTCTCCAGCAAAGTGTAATCAATGCAGCCAAGCTTCTGCTTGGTGATGCCCTGTGAGCTATCTAGCATCCAGTTCTTACCTCCTCAGCTTAACTTTTAAGCTTAACTGTCTACATTTCTCTACCACCAGCCTGGTCTTCAGAGTGCCTACCAAGACTGCCCACTAAGCTCTATCTACAGCATCACAGATTTCAAATGCCCTTGGCTCCAAACTTGTATAAACCAGTTCTAGTAGCTTTTCCACATTGTCTCAGAACGATCAGAGCAAAAATTCTACTTCTCAGT